CGCTCTATGGCCTTGCTTGCTAACTGCTGTAACTGAAAGATTTTATCGTGCATTAGATGGAGGCAGTGAGGCTAGGGCTATTGCTTTTGACATATCTAAAGCTTTCAACAAAGTTTGGCATGCTGGTCTTCTCCATAAGCTTGCTTCATATGGTGTTTCTGGGAAAGTTTTTGAGATTATCAAATTATTTCTTTTTAACCAGATTATTAAAGTCATCCTTGAAGGCCAACACTATTCTTTATTTCCAGTAACTTCTGGGGTTCCCCAAGGTTCCAACCTGGGCCCTGTTTTGTTTTCTATCTACATAAACAATCTTCCTGACAACCTTTCATCTAAAGTAGCTCTTTTTGCTGATGACTCAACTTTATACTCCTGTCTTGACAAAAAGTCTTTTCTTTTCGATCGCCTAGAACAAGCAGCTGATCTTGAATCCGATCTCAATTCAGTAATAGATTGGGGTTCACAGTGGCTTGTGAATTTCAACTCTAATAAAACACAGTTGTTTACTGCAAACAACTACCGTAATATGGTCAACATTCCTATATTAATGAATGGGAATCCTCTTACTGAGTCTTCCTTTTTACGTCTTCTTGGATTATCGCTTACTACTGACCTTTCATGGAAACCATATATACAATCGATTGCTAAATTAGCTTCTGCTAAGGTTGCTTCTCTTTATCGTGCTCGCCATTTTCTTTACTTCTGATTCCATTTTATACCTCTACAAATCTCTTATTCATCCCTGTATGGAAAAATGTTGTTGTATTTGGGCTGGTTCTTCTAACAATTTGCTTTCTCTTCTTGACAAGGTCCAAAAACGCATTTTAAATGTTGTTGGACCTGTACTATCTGCTAAGCTTGAACCTCTTTCCCATCATCGTAAAGTTGCATCTCTTTCTCTTTTCTACAAATACTATCATGGTCACTGCTCAAAGGAGTTATTATCTCTAGTTCCATCAACTAAAATTCATTCTCGTTTTACTTGTCATTCAGCTAAGTCTCATTCATTTACTAAATCTGTCCCTGCATGCTCTAAAAACTTTTATTCATCTAGTTTGTTTTCCCACACTTCAATCCTTTGGAACTCTCCCATCTTCATGTTTTCCTGACTCATACAACCTTCAACTTTTCAAGTCTTCTGTCTAGCGTTTCCTTGCTCTATAACTCTGTTCTTTTTTTTCCTAGTAATTCCCAACTTAATAGTGGTTGCTTGCAGCCTTGTTGGGACTGAATGCATATAAATATATATATATATATATATATATATATATATATATATATATATATATATATATATATATATATATATATATATATATATATATATATATATGTACATATCTATATATATATATATGTATATATTTATATATATATATATATATATATATATATATATATATATATATATATATATATATATATATATATATATTTAGAGAGAGAGAGAGAGAGAAAGAGAGAGAGAGAGAGAGAGAGAGGGAGAGAGAGAGAGAGATAGAGAGAAAGAGAAAGAGAATTAATAATACTTCTATTATTAATAGAATTAGTAACACTTCTGTTATCTCATTAAATTGTAAAATTTTTTCTAGAATTTAATGGGAATACAGAAGTGTTAACTTTTTAGAATAAAATTTAATACTGAATTATTAACTAAGATGTATCAGCTATTACTAATACAATGAAACTATAAAATACCTAAACATGGTAAGTTGTTGTAACAATTTGCTACTTCAATACTGTTTCCAATGCATGGATTCATTATATCAAGACATAGTCTTATTCTACTCATAGTTCCATTACCACAAGAGACACCACAAAGAGACCAAAAACTCCATTCTGACCAACCTAACTGTAGCCCTAAAAAAATTGGTAATTTGGCAAATAATTGAAATGCAACATTTTTTAACGTATTATTGAAAATTGTATAATAATATCATAAATTTTATTATATATATATATGTATATATGTTTCGAGTCAAGTTCTTTAACAAATTTAAAAATGAATAAAGTAAAAAAACTATAAAACACAAAAAACCACAGTCATCACCAAGTTCGCTAAACCTATCATTCACCAATATTTGTGGTCTTGGAAGACTCTTTTCTTCTGTTGAGTCTTATCTCTTGCAAAGTTTACCAGACCTACTTGCACTTTGTGAGACTAATTTGAGTTCAGCTGTCTCATCTTGTGATCTTAGTGTTGATAGTTATATTCCTTTAATTCCTAAAGACTCCAATAGTCACATGCTTGGCCTAGGCATTTACATTCGTAAGAATTCACCCATTTGTCGGGAAACTAGGTTTGAATCCACAAACTACTCTTTTATGTGCTTTTGTTTAGCACCACTTCACTCTATCACCTTTCTCTTTGTTCTATATCGCTCTCATTCATCTCAAGACTGCACTCTTCTTGATGTTCTTTCTGATTATATTGACCAAGCACTCATTCTTTATCCATCAGCCAATATTGTTGTTGTCGAATATGATTTGGGTTGTCTGAAAAGCAAGTTGGAAAGTTGGCTCAAATAGCCAACTTTCCAACTTGCTTTTCAGACAACCCAAATCATTTACCTTCTCTACTTGACTAATGTCTTGTTTCTAATCCTAGTCAGTGATCAGTTTCTCCACAATTGCTTCTGACCATGGTTTAGTCTCTCTAAAACTATTATCTCATTCTTCTTTACCATCAAAATCCCCCTATCATTGTACATCTTACAACTACCTTATTGCTGACAGATATTCTTTCCGTGATTTTCTTCGTGATGGCCCCTGGGCAGAAACCTTTTGTATTCCTATTGACAAACGTGCTTCTTACATAACTTTGTGGATTCAGGCTAGCATGGAATCCTTTATTCCCTCTCGACGATTCCAGATCAAGCCTCACTCTTCTCCATGGTTTTCCTCACATTGTGCTGCTGCAATTGTTAATCCAAACCATTACTTCCATATCTATCAGCAAAACAATTCTCCAGAAAACAGACATTTGTTTATTACTGCTAGGAACCATTGTAAAAAGGTTTTGTCTAACGCCAAAGCCCGCTATTCTCAGATCATGAAATCTTATATTTCATCACAAAAATTAGGCTCTTTTGACTTCTGGAGAATCTTTAATAGTATCAATAATAAGGGCGAGTCTGATATTCCACCTCTTTTGTATGTTTTAGACTTTGTCACCTCACCTAAAGACAAAGCTGAATTGTTTGCCAAGAACTTTTCATCAATATCATCTCTGGATTCCACTAGTTGCGTTCTACCTGATATAGCTGTCAAACAGGTTGATCCATTGCTTGACATTCGTATCACTCCAGCTTCTGTATCTAAAGTGATTTCCAGCTTAGACTCTTCTACAGCTTGCGGCCCAGACAACATACCTGTTAAAGTCTTGCAGAAGTGTTCTCCGGAGCTGCTGTTTATCCTTTTAAAACTATTTAATAAGTGCTTATCAGAGTCTTGTTTTCCAGCCTGCTGGAAAGCAGCATCTGTTATCCCGATTTTTAAAAATTCTAGAGAACGATCCGATTTGTCTAACTACCGTCCCATTAGTCTTCTTCCTATCATAAGCAAGGTGTTTGAATCTTTAATTAACAAACACTTAATCTCTTATCTCGAATCTCATAACCTACTTTCTGATAATCAATATGGATTTCGATCCTCTTGTTCTACGACTGATTTGCTATCAGTAATTACTGATAGGTTTTATCACGCATTAGATAAAGGTGGAGAGGTTAAGGCTATCGCTCTTGACATTTCTAAAGCGTTTGATAAAGTTTGGCATACTGGTCTTCTCCATAAGCTTTCTTCTTATGGTGCATCTAGTAACATCTTTAAGATTATTGAATCCTTCCTTTCCAATTGTAGTATAAAAGTTGTCCTTGATGGACAGCACTCTTCTTCTTATTCTGTAACCTCAGGGGTTCCCCAAGGTTCAATCCTTGGCCCTATACTCTTTTTAATTTACATTAACAATCTTCTAGATATTCTTACATCTAAGGTGGCATTGTTCGCTGATGACCATTTATTTTAGTCACGATAAGAAGCCAACTCCCTCTGATTGCTTGCAGGGGGCATCTGAGCTTGAAAAGGTTGTCACTTATGCTACAGCATGGAGCTCACAGTGGCTGGCAAACTTTATTTCAGATAAAACTCAATTTTTTTTGGCGAATCGTTATTGCAATAGTTTAGACCTTCCTATATTTATGAACGGCAATGTACTCAATGAGTCTCCTACCTTTCATCTTCTAGGATTAACTTTTACTTTTGATCTTTCTTGGAAACCTTATATCAAATCTGTTGCAAAATTAGCATCTGCTAAAGTTGCTTCTCTTTATCGATCTTGACACTTTCTTACTCTAGATTCTATTTTCTATCTCTACAAATCTCAAATCCGGCCTTGTATGGAACACTGTTGCCATATCTGGGGCGGATCTTCTAATGATGCCCTTTCTCTTTTAGACAAGGTGCAAAAACGCATTGTAAACATAGTTGGACCTACTCTTCGTGCCAACCTTCAACCTCTGTCACATCGTAATAATGTTGCTTCTCTTTCTCTTTTCTACAAATACTATAATGGGCACTGCTCTAAAGAGCTAATGTCTCTTGTGCCATCTACTAAAATTTATTCTCATGTTACTCGTCATTCAATGAAGTCTCATCCTTTTTCTGTTACTGTTCGTAAGTGCTCCAAAAACTCTTATTCGTCTAGTTTTTTTCCTCGAACATCAGTTCTTTGGAAATCGCTTCCTTCATTATGCTTTATTGATTCATATAATTTGCAATCTTTTAAGTCACCTGTCAATCGTTATCTTGCTCTAAAATCTTCATCTTTTCTCTTCCAGTAACTTCCAACACTAATTAGTCGTTGCTTGCAGCCTTGTTGAAAGCAAAGATGTAAAAATATATATATATATATATATATATATATATATATATATATATATATATATATATATATATATATATATATATATGTATATATATATATATATATATATATATATATATATATATATATATATATATATATATATATATATATATATATATATATATATATATATATATATATATATATATAATAGAAGTATTATTAACTAAAAAATTTAAAACTAAATCATTAACAAAAAACATCAGTTATTACTAATACAATGAAACTATAAAATACCTAAACATGTTATGTTGTTGTAACAACTTGCTACTTCAATATTGTTTCCCATGCATGGATTTATTAAATCAAGACATAGTCTTACTCTACTCATGGTTCCATTACCACAAGAGACATCGCAAAGAGACCAAAAACTCCATTCTGACCAACCTAACTGTAGCCCTGAAAAAATTGGTAAATTTCCAAATAATTAAAATGTAATATTCTTCAATGTGTTATTGAAAATTGTATAATAATATCATAAATTTTATAATATATATATATATATATATATATAGTGAAAACTAAATAATTATTAAGATATATTTAATTACAAAACTAAAAGTTTCACGCAATAGCGATCATCAGATGTAACAACAATAAAAAGTAACGACAAAAATTATATACAAAAAATGCTATGGAGTGTCCGCTTTGATGACATTAAAGTTTTTTATTAGAAATTTATTTTCATGGCGGCATTTTGACGCAAGCTCGGTTCTTTTGTTAAGCAAATTCAATGGCGACGTAATAATGTGGTATTTTTCTGTCAAGCATAAATTGCAAAATTTACCACATGGTTTGAATGGCTCCGCTTGATCGAGGATATTCCATTTTAAAATAGGTTCTATACCTTTATTTTTGCATTCCCACACAAATTTCGAAAGTTCAGTGGAGTTAGCCTTACTTTCATAAACAAAGGAGTTTTTATGTTTGTACCACCTGTCTTTGAAAGTTTTCTCAGTAAGCCCAATGTAATAATATCCTTCTTCTTCTTGGTGAGTTTTTGCGTTGCAAATATAAATAAGATTTTTTGTAAGGCATTTTCCATTGAGTGGGCATAAGGTGGTTGCCGACAATTGCATAATTGATTGGCATTTTCATGAGAGTGAAATAATATCTTTTTATTATGAGAAGTAACAATACTCTTGATATTTGGAAGGCAGCTATAACTTACCTTTAAGTTGTTTCGATTAAAAAGTTTGTGAAATTTGTGGCCTTTAGGGAAACATTTATCAATTGTACTCAAAAATGTTTTGGCTACGTTTGTTCTGACGTTGAGTGAATAAGGTGGGTTAAACCAGATAATGTTTCTTTTTCGAGATTTTTTATTATATTTCTGGATATTTGGAGTGTAATTGATCTTATCTTTGAATCCACAAGAATTGAGGGCATTATTATAAAATGGTGCGGCTCTATCAAAAGCTTCTTTGCTTGAAGATATGTTACTGATGCGGTTAGAGATCATTTTTGGTATCGATTTAATAATGCTTGGTGGGTGGTTTGAATTGATGTTAATATATAAAGGATTATCTCCTGGTTTTCTATAAGGTTTAAAAGAGTTCTCAGAAAGGTTGAATGTGATATCAAGAAAATTTACGGTTTTTAAATTTGGTTTGATAGTGATGTTAAGATTAAAATTGTCTTTAAAAATTTTTATTAGATTTTTAATTTATGGTTCCATTACCATAAATTAAAAATCATTAAAAACCATTAAAATGCCAATCAATTATGCAATTGTCGGCAAACCACCTTATGCCCACTCAATGGAAAATGCCTTACAAAAAATCTTATTTATATTTGCAACGCAAAAACTCACCAAGAAGAAGAAGGATATTATTACGTTGGGCTTACTGAGAAAACTTTCAAAGACAGGTGGTACAAACATAAAAACTCCTTTGTTTAAGAAAGTAAGGCCAACTCCACTGAACTTTCGAAATTTGTGTGGGAATGCAAAAATAAAGGTATAGAACCTATTTTAAAATGGAATATCCTCGATCAAGCGGAGCCATTCAAACCTGGTAGTAAATTTTGCAATTTATGCTTGACAGAAAAATACCACATTATTACGTCGCCATTGAATTTGCTTAACAAAAGAACCGAGCTTGCGTCAAAATGCCGCCATGAAAATAAATTTCTAATAAAAAACTTTAATGTCATCAAAGCGGACACTCCATAGCATTTTTTGTATATAATTTTTGTCGTTACTTTTTATTGTTGTTACATCTGATGATCGCTATTGCGTGAAACTTTTAGTTTTGTAATTAAATATATCTTAATAATTATTTAGTTTTCACTATATTATTTGCTCTACTAATTATATAAAACGCTGTATTGAGCACTCTTACTGGAAATATTAACATAATTCCTACAATATATATATATATATATATATATATATATATATATATATATATATATATATATATATATATATATATATATATATATATATATATATATATATATATATATATATATATATATATATATATATATATATATATATATATATATATATATATATATATATATATATACATATATATATATATATATATATATATATACATATGTATATATATATATATATATATATATATATATATATATATATATATATATATATATATATATATATATATATATATAATATATATATATATATATATATATATATATATGTATATATATATACATATATATATATATATATATATATATATATATATATATATATATATATATATATATATATATATATATATATATATATATAAAGTGTAATTAAATAGAAAAATACAACTTTATAATGGAACTAAAAGTTTCATGCCTATCGGCAATCTTCAGCCATATATATTATACAAACCAAGAAAAAACCGTTAAAAAATACAAAATACAAAAACAGCAGTAGAATGAGTTCCGACGTCAAAACAAAATGAATAAAAAAGAAGCATAGTTGTAAAACTGCTAATCGCCAGTGTCAAATTGGGCAAGAAAAATAAAATTTTGTACTTTTTGTTTAAGCATAAGTTACATCGTTTTGTTACAGGGTTATAGGCATTGCACTGTTTTATTTTCCACCTAACAACCGGGTTTAAGTTTTCATCTTTTAATCTCCAAACCTCCTTTGATAATTTAGTGTCATTTTTGTATTTGGGAATTTTAAAAGATTTTATGTGATTAGCATATCTAATTTTAAAAGATGTTTCGCTTATGCCAATGTAAAATTTATTGATGGGAGTTTGAACAAGATTGTTTGAGCATACATTAGCTTGATATACTATATTTTTTGTTAAGCATTGGTTTGATAAAGGGCAGGTGTTTTTATCTATGCAATTGCAACTATTTTCAGCTGATTCTTTCTTGTTGTTTATAACATGGCGACTGTGGGCGTTTAAAACGGATTTCATATTAGGCATACAGTTATAACTTACTTTTAATGTGTTTCTGTTAAAAATTTTGTGCAACTTGTGATTTTTAGGGAAGTGCTTATTAATTAATGTTAAAAATATTTTTCCTATATTCGTGCTGACGTTTTTGCTAAAAGGCGGGTTGAACCAAATGATGTTACGTTTACGGTTCTTGTGAGATAATATTAAGTTAGGTTGGTAAGAAAGATTGTAATTAAAACCGGACATCATTTACATCATTTTGTTAAAAACTGTTTCTTCTTGGAAATAAGATTTCCTTGGTTATGAATTTGAAATTGTTAATTGTGTTGACACTGTTGTGAAAATATGGTGTAAACAATGCACTATGAAAAACGTAGAACTGTTAAATTTCAATTCAAAACAGATATTAACATTACCAAAAACCAAAAAATTATAAATGATTTAGACGTTGCGACAGTTAAAAGTGACATTAGTTCATCAGATTGGTTTCGGAAGAATAATGTACCGTAAATGGCAATTGGCCTGATGAGAATAGTAAATCCACCAAAATGCAATCATCAGATTGCGATGAACAAGAAAATTTTTGCAAAAAAGATGATTAATCTACTGATGATAAAGAATGTAGCCATATAATTTAGATTTCTTTATTGATTTTAGTAACTTTTTATTAATTTAGAAAAAAAAATTCTTTATAAATATATTGTAAAAAAAGATAAAAATGATTTGCTTCCTTGCCATGCAAAGAAATATCATACAATTTTTGTAAAACATTTTTGTAAACATAATTTAAAAACTGTTCTTTTTTTATATTAACATATCTAACTCTCAAATAGATTGTATGTTTTAGATGTTTTATTTTCATTTAAATTTTTTTGACGTATATTCTTTTATTCCCTCACTTGTATGAAAATACGTTGATGAAAATTTATTATTTTTGAGAGTTAGATATGTTAATATAAAAAAAGAACAGTTTTTAAACATAATTTAAAAACTGTTCTTTTTTTATATTAACATATCTAACTCTCAAATAGATTGTATGTTTTAGATGTTTTATTTTCATTTAAATTTTTTTGACGTATATTCTTTTATTCCCTCACTTGTATGAAAATACGTTGATGAAAATTTAAGGCATCCTAAAAATAAGAAAACAAAAGCAGTAAAAAAAAAAAAAAGAACTGATAAATCTTAAATTTTAAAACACTTACTAAAGCGTGTTTTGATAAGCATTTGCTCACTTTTTTTGCTTACCTTAATTGCTTACCGCTTTTTTCGAAAAAGAAGAAAAAAAAGGAAGAATGATGAATGAAACGATTGCTGTCTCATCCCTAACCCTCAGTCGATGTAGCAGCACTCCACTGCAAGTCAGGCTATTTCAGTATGACGTCAGATTGCTTACCTTAGTACGCTATGCTATTTGTATACATATATATATATATATATATATATATATATATATATATATATATATATATATATAGTAGTATATATTAATAATATTTCTATTATTAATAGAAATAATAACACTTAAGTATTCTTATTAAATTGTAAAAAATTTTCTACAATTTAATGAGAATACAGAAGTGTTAGCTTTTTAGAATATAATTTAATACTAAATTATTAACTAAGAATTGTCAGTTATAACTAATACAATGAAATTATAAAATACCTAAACATGTTATGTTGTTGTAACAACTTGCTACTTCAATACTGTTTCCGATGCATGGATTCATTACATCAAGACATAGTCTTACTCTACTCATAGTTCCATTACCACAAGATACATTACAAAAAGACCAAAAACTCCATTCTGACCAACCTAACTGTAGCCCTGAAAAAAATGATAAACTTGCAAATAATTGAAATGCAACATCCATTAATGCATTATCGAAAATTGTATTTAAATTTTCTATTTTAGAAATAAACGGTGTACTTGAAGTCAAACCTATTCTAAATATATCTCAGTGTTAACTTTAAAACTTTTTTTTTCAATGCTTTATAATATTATAAAATACTATATTATAAAACAAAGTATTATTATAAAACACATTATTTTTGTTTAAATGTTTTAGCAGCGGTTGTGTATCTAATAATGATTTATTGGCGAAAGAAACTCAATATTTAACAATGTTATCAAAAATCAAACAATAACAAAACTAAACAAAAAATGAATATTTAAAGTAAAAAAAATCACTATAAAAATTTAAAAAAAAGGAAATTAATTAAACCTGTAGGGTTGCAAACCATAAAGTAATGCAAAACCATAAAACAATAGATTTAGAGCAAAGTGAAAAGTGATATTTTAGAAAGATTCCTTTTTAATTTCACATAATAGTAAAACAGAAATTTGAACTCAACCTCACAGGTTTAAATTTTGCACTAGTCCTATATCAATGACACCAGTGGCGGATCCAGGTCATTATCCTAGAGGGGGGGGGGGGGGTAATTTAGCCAACAAAAAAATTCCGTTTTTTTTTTCTTCAGATAAACCACTTTTTTATTTGATTATTTAGAATATTCACGATACATATAAAAATTGAGCCCGTTAAAATCATAGTGCACAGGATGCAGTATTGTCTGCCTGTATATAAATCTGGCCCTGCCTGTAATGTGTAACAAAAGACAAAATAATATCTATAGTATTTATATATATTTTTTTTTAATAAAGACTTTTTAACAAAGTTTAACAAACTACAATATAAAATTGAGCTTTCTAGTTTTCGAAGATGCAAAACTATCAATAATCTCTTCAACATTTATGACGCAATCTCTATGGATATGCATCATAGCTAAGCCATTTAATAGTTCTTGTCCTATATTGGATCTTAACCAAGTTTTGAGTATTTTTAAAACCGAGAAACTCTGTTCTCCCAAAGCAACGCTAACAGGTAGGGTGCAAAGCAGTTGCAAAATACTTTTAATTAAAGGGAAGACATTACCATCACATTGTTTGTATGCTTCTGGTGCACATTCAGGTAAGTCTTGTTGCTTTTTGATTGCGACTTTCCATTTTAGCTCCCAAAATTCTAATTTTGAAGGAATTTTCATTAATTGGACATTCTCATTAACAGTATTTATATTGGGCAGCCCTTTTATAAAACTCAGTATAATAGTTATGAATGCTGTTAACTCTGTCTTTGTTTTATTTAATAAATTTCTAGGTATTGCAACATTTTATTCAAAAGAGTTTAAAGTTTCATCAGAAAATCTGAACTGTAAATCTAGAAGTATGCTATCAAGTTGCGGTAAATAAACATTGACTCTATAGTAAGTTAGAGGATCATTGGTATCGAGGTTTGCGCGATTAGTTTGTTTTCCTGTAATTCGTGGAAACTTGATTTTTAAACATATATCTTCTATTTATCATAAATATAGAGTTAAAGTTTTCTTCATTCTATCGTCTTTTATTTAATATCTTTATGGTATGTTTAAGAATAGTTTTTGCATAACAGACTTAACACAGAATCATGCCGTTCAATCCATCTTGTTTCGCATAAAATTCTAAGCATTCCCTTATTTATATATTTAAGAACGTTACTTCGCTTCGGTGAACCTTTAAAAAATGATATTATTTCTTTCATTGTGCCAATTGTATTTCTTACAGCTTGCACAGACGAACATTTAGAAACTGATAAGTTTAAAGCATGATTGTAGCATGGATTTTTTATTGCGTTTGGTAGGATCTTCTGTAATTTCGTGACTGCTCCGTTGTTTTCATCTAACATAAGGCTGCATCCATCAGTACCTATACCAAAACAATTTTTTAAATTGAAGCCAAATTTTGTCAATGTGTTTGCAACTGTGTTTGCTAGCAATTCTCCTGTTAGTACAGGTTCATAAGTAAAATAAGAATAATTTTCAGTATGGCAGTTAACAAAACCAATGAAATCTTCACGGATTTCACAGGTATTAACATCAATATATCTTAATACGACTGTCATTTGAGAACTATGACTGGTATCTGTTGTTTCGCCAAATATAACGCTATAAAATTTTCCTTTCAAAATTCTTGTTTTAACTAAGTCCTGAATTTGTTGAGCGCATAGTTCAATTATTTCATTTTGAATACTTTTACTTATATATGTTGTTTTAGAATTACAGTTATTCAAATGGTTTTTTTAAATATTTTCCCAGCACTCACTCGAAAGCGAAGCAATTCCCGAAGATTGCCATCATTAGGACCAGCATGGCCCTGCATTGGTAGAATTTTACTTCTTTTGACAAAATAGTCATCTAAAGAGCTTGTCCTCTTTACCCTGTTGGTCATTGTAGCTAATAAAATAATTTCATTATAATTGTAAAATTCATTTGTTATTTATTTAAAATAGTAATTAACACACTTTTGTTTTCTAAATAAAAAACTAATTCATAAGAAATTCATTCAGTTACTATTTAAAATAAATAATACTTCGTATCTTATTTAAATACAACTTAAAGTGTATAAAATGCGGTAGTGGTGTAGTAATAGAGCGCTCGCTTCATAAACGAGTGGTTACGGGTTTAATCCCCACCACGTCCTTGGTAGTACCATGCTCAACTCGTTTCTCCGCGCAGCGGCCTTGTTCGTCAAGGTTCGTGTTTTGGAGTTATAGAGTTAAGAGAGGGTTATAGCCACAAAATAAGTAGCCTCCTCGTCTGTAGTGGCCTTCTCAGCCTTGAGGAGGTGAATTAAAAAAAAAAAAAAAGTATAAATTGAAGTGTTACAATATCAATTGTTGAAAAATAAATACTTTTTTATTGAAATTTTAACTACCAAAAACATATATATTTTTTTGTAAGTTTTGTAAGTTTAAAAACTTCATTTTCAAAACTTCATTCATCAAAAAATATATATATATATATTTTTGTAAGTTTGTAAGTTTAAAAGCAATTTAAAAAGTTTTTAAAAATAAAACGATAGTAATTTTACTGTTTTTTATTGTTAGCTACTTATATAATAGAATGAATGAATGATGATAACATTCAAATGTTTCGAAACTTTCTTCTTTTTTTCTTCGATATCGTTAAAATGCAACAATAGATTTTTTGTGTAACGTTATGAAATAAGTTTAGTTTTTCTTTAGTTTTAGTTTCTGTTTTAGTTTTAAAAAAAGTAAATTGTTAGCTGCTGAACAATTTTTTGTATTTTATTATTTCTGTCACAAATTTTCAATAATATTTTGAAGTTTGACATTTCTTAGGGAGGTTAGTTACCCCCCTCCTTTGTATCCGCCACTGAATGACACATTAAATAATAAAAAATTTAAGACCTCAACCTAAAACTTTTTAATATTGCTTTTTACTCATAAAGTATAATAAAGTTAAGTCATTTTAAATTTATTATTTTTCAATTTTTTAAAAAACTAATTCATACCCAGCAAGATTTCAAAAAACCACAATTAAGTTGAGGATTACAAGAAAACAAAGAATAGTGTTAAAGAGCGAGGAAATGGTCGAGAGTTTTTAAAAAACTAACTCATACCCAGCAAGATTTCAAACAACCACTATTAAGTTGAGGATTACAAGAAAACAAAGAATAGTGTTAAAGAGCAAGGAAATGGTCGAGAGAAGACAAGGATGAGAACAATGGAACAGTGGCTTAAGCTTGGCAGATAGAGCAGGCCCAACTATTTTTAGAATGCAATTTGGACCTTGTCAAAGATAAAGAGCATCATTACAAGAAGCATTTGATATATAAAAAGCGAAAGCCCTTGCCTTGCTACCTCCGTCCAGGCACAATAGAATCTTTCAGTTACGGCAGTTAGCAAGTCAGCCCTAAAACAAAAGATGGAAAACCGTATTGATTCTCAGAGAGTAAGATATCAGAGGTTGATTAAAGACCTAAAAACTTTCCTATTAATTAAGAGAACAATGATCGGACAATAGTTGGATAGGTCAGAGTTTTTAAAAATTGGAAGCACAGATGCCATTTTCCAGCAAGCAGGAAAACCAGATTTAGTCAAGCACTTATTAATTAGTTTAAAGATAGTTTTGGAGAACACTTTTTTAAGACTATGACAGGAATGTTGTGTGGACCACAAGCTGTAAAAGAGTTTAAACGAGGAATGACTTGAACAACGGAAGCTGGAGTGATTTGAATGCCTAAGAATGGGTTAAAGTGTTTATCCGGATGGGCTATTAAAGCAAATAGCTCTGCCTTATCTTAGGGATAGGGTTAAAAGTTAAGTCTAACATTCCACTTTTAATTCATGAATTAAAGATGGAACGTTTGAGTTAACATTGTTAATTACAATGTTAAAAATTTTCTAAATGTCTCTTGTAATTTCTAGATAATTTATGAAATTTAGTTAACTGAGAAACTTAGAATGAGACAGCACCTTTTTACATTGATTTTTTTCAATTATAAAATGATGTTTGTTTTCAAGAGTTGTTCCAATGAACAAGAGGATAAAAGTCATGGAGTAGATTAATGCTCGACCTGAAATCTATAAGATGGGATAAAAGCATCTATACCTGCCTGGATAAGGAGGTGCATTTATCAAAGAAGGTCACAAATAAAGTCATGAAAAGAATTATAGTCAGTCTATCTTAGTTAGGATTGATAGGGTAAGTCTTAAGAAAAATTGTATGTAAAATTGTAAAAAAGATGGAAGATTTGCAGATATAACTGCATTGTCGGAACCACCTAAAGGAGAACAAGTAGAAACTGAACACAAGCTTGGGTCAGTAACAAGACACAAATCAAGGAGAAAAAGCAAGTGTTCAGGGTAGTCAGGAAAATGAGTCACAATTCTAACTACATGAGTAAGGGATTAAAAAAACAGAAGTTATGAGATTTAGTGTCAGCAGGTTAACGCTTTTAGAGCTAGTCTATTCATTGTGAGCACCAATATTAGCAATATTGGCAGAGGGTTGAGGAGAAAGGACACAGTCAACTTTATTAGAAATTAAAAAAAGTACTGTCTTAAGAAGTAGTAGAACAATAAAGAACAAATAAAAAAATACATAAAAGAAATGCTCAGAAATATCAAATCTAATTTCTTAACATAGAATATATTTTAAAATTACATATTCTATAAATAGAATATGTAATTTGATGCATAAATATCTGCCTAAGCCAAAATGTGATTCTTGTATGACTCTTGAATCAAAATGTGACTCTTGTATGACTTTTGTATCAAGATGTGACTCTTAGAGTCTTAGGAATCAAAAAATATAATAGCCATTAACACTAAGATCTTAAGATGAAACATGATGAGATGAATTCAAATTAGTCTCGTAAAGAGATCAAGTATGTCTGGTGATTTTTGCATAAGGTAAACTGATGAAAAGTTGCTTGAAAGACCACAAATATTTGTAAAAGATAGATTGAAAAAGTTATGTGGTGATATAGAGTACAGACTTCGATAGAGTTTAGCTATCTCAAGCATAGATAGAATACAGCCTGCTAAGCTTAATATAATAGAGTATGGCACCCTAAGTAATGAGCTAGGCAGCTGCCTCAGTCCTGCTAAATAAAGCTGTAAATATGGTCTTCTTTTGTGATCTCAACAAAGCACATAAAGAGCTCTAATAAACACCATCCATGCACGTTATGCCACTGTTAATAATCTCAAACTTTACAGCTGTTGATAGAATCCGCCTCTCTAAGAGCTTCAATAGAGTTCAGGATATCTTATTACTAGTCAGAACCTTTAAACTAAGTTTTAGAGCTATAACCTCACACTGAAGAGATAAAGAAAGAGTGTGAGGCTGGTCAACAGAATTATTTCGCTTACCCTATAAGTAGAAGTTAATATCTGCCCAAGATGATTATTTTTATAGAGACACTAACTCCAGCCTTAACCTAAACCACAAGACACAACACAAAAGATTTTAACTTAGAATTCACTTCTCCAAGTCTATGCCTACAAAAGTAAATCCTACAAAGCAGCAGAAAATGTGAAAAGTTAAGTTATCCAGGAATATTGTGCCAGGTCAGGTTATCCTGCTACTGGTAACATGTAACCCAGTACAAACTGCTTTATGTCCTGTTGCCTTTTAAAAGATGTTTTTTTAGGCAAAGGCAAAGGAAAAGCCAACTCAGACTCAAAACACTCCCTGTCTTGGGTTAAGGTCTGGAGACGGTTAAGCTCCTGGAGACGGGGCTCCTGGTTAAGTAAAGGCTGGAGATGGTGTCTCAATAAAAATACTTGTCTTGGGCAGGTGTTAAACGCATCCGGCTACTGTCTTGTAGAAGGCCTCTTAGTCAAAGACTTAAGGGGTAAACAGATTCTATCTGTTGACCAGTCTTGCACCTCTGCTTTATCTAGTAGGCTGGTGTAGATGTATTTATAATACATTGCTTTAGGATGTTGAATGCTGGATCTTCTTGACAAAATCCATGCGTTGACGCATGGATTTCAGTTATTACCTCAAAAACTGCTAATGGCGCCATACTAAACCTTACATGATTTCCAAACTACAAAATAAATGCTTTCATATGTTGCAATGTTTAAGTTTGCCCCATTAGCGTCTTTAAAAAAAACGAGTTTTAAAATTGCTAATTTGAGGTTAAAATCTAAAAATTTGGTTTTGAAAAATTAACTAATACACATCTGTTACAAAAATAATTTATTTACAAACAATAATGTTGTTTAAAATATAACCAATAGATGCACTTGAGAATGCCCGCTATCTATAAAGCTTTTGCAAAATAGCGGACCTTTGCACTGTTATTTTGAAACTAATGGATCAGATCCCAGCCAATGTCTTTTGAAGCAATCTTCTATATTGACTAATTGATTAATTTTTCTTGATAGTTTTTCCCTGAAGGATCTAATACGCCTGCTATTAGCTTCCATTCCTTCTTCACTCCAAGATTTTAAACCAGTGGAATCCTTTATTTTTATCGAATCCCAGCTATGAGCAAGAATTTTGTGCAGCGTTGGAGTTATACTTACCCGATAAAATTCTTGTAGAAACAAGATGTTTAGCTCCTGACACATTTGTTTGTATAGCCCAATATTATTTTTTATTAAAATTAATATTTAGCTATACAAACAATTTATTATTGAGCTATAAAAACATTTCAAATCAGAATTGTGAGAAAAAGCTAGCTACACTTTTTAACTAGTAAGTGTGATTTAATATGTGATCTGTAATTACTTTTTTGCAGAACATTATTATGTAAAAGTTTTCTGGCAACAATTCCAGTTATTGTATTACCTTGTTCAACGGATTCTACAAAATCCAATTTTATTCCTGTTTTAACCTAAAAAACTTTTTGTAGTTGCGCTTTTTCTTTGTTTAGCAATATTGTGTTTTTGTTTATCTTAGATTCTTTCCAAGTTAAGACACCATGTTAACAATTACCTTCATAAAATGATCAAAGCTTCAGAACAAACCATGTAAAAGCTGAATGAAATTAACATTTAAAATGCAATTGAACTTGTAATTTAACCGTGCACGGTCAAATAACAAGTCTGATGCTACAAGTGTACTTGTAAAAATTGGACTTGTAATTTGACCGTGCATGGTCAAATTACAAGTCTGATTTATACAAGTGCACTTGTAACATCGTTACAAGTGCACTAATAAAAATATTGTACGATAATTATATTACCTAATATAATTATCCTAAAATATTTTTAATAGTGTTTTTTTGGTTTCCGACAGTTATTAAATGATTTTTTTAATTCATGAAGGGTAAAAAAATACTTCCAAAATATATTACACTGAATTACCATGTAATTCAGTGATAGATCCAGGAATTTTTGGTGAGGGTGGAGATTTTATATTTTGTACCACATTTGCCTCTCCTATAAAAAAAAAAACGGTCCTCAATTTTAAAGATATTTTAGAACTTTCACACTCTGGTGGGGACCATACTATCTAAAATTTTGACCATACTATCTAAAAAAAATTTATATAATATATATATATATAATATATATTTAATATATCTATATATATATATATAATATATACATATGTATATATAATATATATAATATATCTTTTGACCATACTATCTAAAAATAATTTTTTACTGAATTTTATAGGGTGTTTTACAGTGTCATGTTGGTGTCTTAGAGTTATAGTATGCCTCCAGGAGTATTTTTTAATGACTGAGCTTCAAAAATTAAGCTAAAAATATGTATCATGACCATGCTTTATTTTCCTATGCCACATAAAGAGATTTTTCTAAAGTAAAAACTAATGTCCACAAAAAGTGCAAAATAAACCACTGTACTAGATCTTGCTCTTTGTGAGACTAATTTGAGTTCAGCTGTCTCGTCTTGTGATCTTAGTGTTGATGTTTATCTTTTTTAAATTTTTATCGACAATAGTAACATGTTTGGCCTGAGTATCTACATTTGTAAGAATTCACCCATTAGTTGAGAAACTAGGTTTAAATCCACAGATTATTTGTTTATGAGCTTTTGTTTAGCACCATTTCACTTTATTGCCATTCTCTTTGTTCTATATTGCTTTTCTTTATATCAAGACTGCACTCTTTTTGATATTATTTCTGATCAAATTGATCTAACCCTTTCTTTATCCTTCAGCTTCAGTTATTATTGTTGTTGATCAGAAAGTAAGTTATTAGATTCAAGATGAGAGATGTGTTTGTTAGCTAAAGACTTAAAACTGTTTATGATATGTAGAAGACAAGTGCGACTTGAACGAGTCAGATTGCTCTCCAGAATTTTTGAAAATGGGGATAACAGATTTTGTTTTCCAGCAGGATGGAAAACAAGACTCCGATAAACACTAGTTAAATAGTTTTGAAAGTATAGATGACCGCTCCGGAGAATACTTCTTCAAGACTACAGCTTGTGGTCCGGACAACATGTATGTTGTCCGGACCACAAGCTGTAGTCTTGAAGAAGCAGGAAATTACTTTGAATACGCTAAATTCTTGAGAATTATTAAGCCAATAAATATGAAAGTAATGGTTACAATAGGAAACTGCAGCAGCACAACGAGAGGAAGACTTTGGAGAAAAGTTTGACTTAAAATTGTCAAGAGGGAATTAAGGATTCCAAGCCAGCCTGAATCCAAGAAGTTATGTAAAAAACACATTTGTCAGAAGGAAGACCAAAAGATTTCTATCAAAGACTATTATAAAGAAACTCATGAGAAGAGTCCCATGTCAGTCTTATCATAGTCAGCTCTAAGCTAGTTATAAGAGGTACAATGATAAGAGGATTCTGATGATGAAAAAAAATGAAATAATATTTTTGGAGAGATCAAAACGTGATCAAAAGTACCTAAGGGTAAATGTGGAGAAAATGAATACTGACTAGGATCAGAAACAAGACATAAGTTGAGTATAAAAAGTTAAATGATTCAAATTGTCTAAAAAGTGATTTGGAAAATTTACTATTTATGTTAGAGATTGAAAAAGGCAAAAGTTGAGGACATTAATGCCTGCATAGTCACTGACGCTAGAACTATGCCATCTAGTGCGATGATCATTAACAACAATTTATTCAATAACTTAATGAGAAAACAGAAGTGTTAACTTTTTACTATATAATTTAATATTATTATAATTACTAAGAAATATAATTTATTACTAATATAATGAAATTATGAAATACCTGAACATGTTATGTTGTTGTAACAACTTGCTACTTCAATACTGTTTCCAACACATGAATTCATTACATCAAGGCATAGTCTTACTCTACTCAAAGTTCCATTGCCACAGGAGACATCACAAAGAGACCAAAAACTCCATTCTGACCAACCTAACTGCAGCCCTGAAAAAAAGTGGTAAACTTTGCAAATAATTGAAATGAAACATTTTTCAATGCAACATTGAAAATTTTATTTTAATTTCCTTTTTTAAAAATTAATGAGGCATTGAGAGCCAGAGAGGTTTAACCTTGCTATGGCTCTTTCTGAAGAAATCTCACTTATCAAGTCATTAAAAATAGTTAACATTCAACTTTATTAACAAAAACAACAAACACAATAATTCTATATATAAAACACATAAATTCTATATTGTAAATTAATTACAAAAATTTAAATCAAACTTATCAAAGAATTGTTAAAAATTACGTCATAATACAGCCAACAGTCACAATCCAGCTGGTTAGACCATTATGGCATGCGCAATATTTGCAGTTATTAGCAACAAGGTTTTACAATAATAATTCTGTGCTTCATCTGCACATTATTCTGCTTTCCTTTAATGAAGTTCTAGTTTGGCCTTAAACAGTATATTGTCTGCTTTATAAGCAGAACTTTCAATTGAATTCTCTATACTGTCTCACATTTTGCAGGTGTCTTGATGAGGTAGGTGAAAACCAAGATTGAACATTTTAAAAAAGACGTTGTCTTGGTTGCCTTTCTATTTTCTTCTGAATATTTAGCCTGATATAACTGGTCCAATTTTGTGATGTTCAGATCAAAACATAAATATTTGCAATTTAGATTTTTGTGTCAACTGTAGTAAGACTCCTATAAGCCAATAAACTGCTAAATGTATTCTACTTCTTATTGCTTGTTTTATTATGAGAAGGTGTTTTTTTTAATTTAAGTAAATTTAGAGAAGATGTCTGATGATGTCCTATTAGACCTACCTTTTGAACTCCCTCATTTTATTAGACCTACCTTTTGAACTCCCTCATTTTATTAGACCTACCTTTTGAACTCCCTCATTTTATTAGACCTACCTTTTGAACTCCCTCATTTTTTAGAGCTGTAGCACAAAAAATTCTGCCATCACTGATGCAAAGGACTCCACAGAAAAAAGTCTTACATACTCTGACATATGTACCGTTGACATCATGAAATAAATAGAGCTTTGAGCAGCTTAGTTTCAAATATTCAACTCTGAATTATTTTCACTTAACTTCACAAGATTGTACCTGACCAGATATAAAAGCTGATTGTAAAGACCAGTCAGACAGAGCATTAAAGTTGATCATAATAAACTGTTGCCTCTGTGGCAAAAGTTTGTGGGCCAAAAGTTTGTGGCCAACAACAGTCAACTGGTTGGAAGATTTTTGCTAGTACAGTTCATCTGGTGCTGTTGATGTAGTCTACTCTAGCAATTTATCTCTTTTGCATGTTCTTTTTCCAATTTTCAGTATTTCTTATTCTTTTGCGACCACAAAAAGAAACAAAACACCCCTTAAAATTTAAGTAGCTTGAGCATAGAATACAAAATTAGTGTGGGTAAGGCCACTATAGCAGAGGAAAATATGTTCAAAATGCTAATTGGAACTGTATATTGGAAAAATTATTTGTTAGGCCACTCTGGCGCTCAGCGCCTTAAATGTCTTAAAATAATTATGAATACACAGAAAAAGTAAATTTCAGAATTAAAGCAATCTATTTACAAAACAGAAACAAAAAAATCTTTTAATTTTGGTGATATTTATCACCAAATGGTAAATGTGTGAGTATCTAATTTATTTTTTTTAAACAACTTTACTTCCAACAAGGCTTCAAGCAACCACTATAAGAGTTGGAAGCTACTGGCAGGGAAAAGATGGAGTTTATAAAGCAAGATAACAATTAACAGACAACTTAAAAGATTGCAAATTATATGAATATGGAAAATATGCTAAAGGGAATCCAAAGAACTAATGTATGTGTAAAAAAACTAGGCAAATAAGAATTTTTAGAGCACTTAGAAACAGTCGCAATATAAGGATGATACTTAATTGAATGACAAGTAACACAAGAATGAATTTTAGTAAATGGCACAAGAGACACTAGCTCTTTAGAGCAGCGTCCATTATACTATTTATAGAAATGAGAAAGAGAAGCAACATTATGACAATAGTTAAAGGTTGGCTGCAAGAGCAAGCCCAACTATGTTTACAATGCTTCAAAATAGAAAGGGCATTATTCAAATATCTGTTCCAGATATGGAGACAGTATTCAATACAAGGACAGATTTGAGATTTATAGAGATAAAGAACTTTTGGACAAAGACTTTGGAATTTGCAAGTAAGAGTTAAATCAGATTTCAAGTTAATTCTAGAAGGCAAAGGATAGCTGATTCATCATGTACATTATTGTTTATAAATATAGAAAGATCTAGATTGTTGCAATAATTATAAGTTGAAAAAAAAATTGTGTTTGATCTAGGTTAAAGTTCACCAGCCACTGAAACCCCATGCTGTAGTAGAGGTGAGATTTTTTTCAAGTTCAAATGGCTTCTTAAATGTAAGATTTTCTGGGAGATCCTTAATGTAAATTAAAAAAGTATAGGCCTAAGGATAGAATCTTGAGGAACCCCTGAAGTTACAGGAAATGATAAACAGTGCTGCCCATCGAGGACAACCTTTATGCTACAATTGGTAAGGAAGGATTCAATAATCTTAAAGATGTTACCTGATACACTGTAATAAGAACGCTTATGGAGAAGCCGTAAAAAAAAAGCTTATAGAGATCTATACTGGATTACAAAATGCAAAACTGTTTGAATGACTTAATAAATGCTTTGATGGTAAAACTAAAAAGTTACATTATTATAGTCAAAAAATAATTCGAAAACACAGAATAATCATTAAGTAGACATGAAAACTTTTATGTATTTAGTGCTCTTCAAATTAAGACTAGGACAGATAATAACTTATTATTTAGATTTACTATAATCTTAAACATTCATAGTGTCAAACATTTTAAATACTTGGATACCAATTGTCTTAAGTACTAAATGAATTCACATATTGCCGACAAAAAAAATAATAAAAATACTTATATTAAAATGCTTTGAGTTTCCTAATGTAATTGGCATAATAAATTGTTTTGCAAAAGAGATTCTAATTTTAGTCAAAGCTCCAGTCCCAACCTATTCAACATAAAAATCCAAGAAATTGAAAGTTTTAATTTGTGTAACTCCTATTGGTACTTTATCCTTTATTTCAAAGGTATGATGGGATAGCTAATGGAAGCAATGCATCAAACTGATTTATTATATAGAGATACTGTATTGGATAAAATTATATCAGGAGACTCTTTATTGGCTGACAAAGGATTTAATATTAGTGATTTGCTTGTTGGAAAAGGGTCACATCTTGTAATTTCTCCTTTTTTATAAGATAAAGTAAAGCTTCTAAAAGAAATACCACAAAAATCTCAAATATTGCCCAATATTTATGTCAATAAAGCAACTTCTCAAATAAAAAAAATTACATATAACCTAATGTGTTTTTCCTTTAAAATGATTAACTTATTTAGTTATTCTCCATTGGTACCTTTATAAATATTTATTTTATTAATATATCTGTTTTAATAATTTAAGTAACATGTGGAACAAGTTTGATTATTTTTGTTAACAAATTTGTTTATTTTTTTCAATATTTTAGAAAAGAAAATGTTTTGTTTTAAATATTTTAGACAAGTAAATATTTGAAATATTTAGAAAATTTTTGTTGTAAATATTTCTTTTGCTAATTTAGAAAACAAAAAAAAGATGTGTCAATGCGGTAGTGGTGTAGTGGTAGAGCGCTCACCTCATAAGCGAGAAGTTCCGAGTTCAATTCCCACCATGTCCTTGGTAGTACCACACTCAACTTGTTTCTCCATGCAGCAGCCTTGTTTGTCAAGGTTCGTGTTTCTGAGTTATAGAATTGAGAGAAAGAGTTGTAACCACAACAAAAGTAGCCTCCTGAACTGTAGTGGCCTTCATGGCCTTGGGGAGGTGAATTAAAATAAAAATAAAAATTAGTGGCACATAGTACAGCATAAACTGTTTAAATTTTGATTCAGTTTTGCAATAAATGCTTTCAATTCAAGTTATGATGTCTTAAGCACTGATGAATTTAAAAGTTTATTTGTTCCAATAAAAAAATTAGATTTTGGCTGAAAGTAATGGTCTTGCTTTTCCCAATCGTAACAAGTTTTTTGGCTAAAACAAATAAAAGATATTTTATTATAACAAATTGATTTTTTACTTATAAAAAAAAAGATATATTTGAAATTATTATATTAAAATAATAAAAATATACACCTAATGTGCGCAATAGATTATTTATTAGAACTCATTAACTATTAAAAAGCACATGTAACACGTAAAAAGTTACACTTAACTTTGTTCATACTGGTACATATACTTAAATACAAGGCCAGCGCAAAAGGGGTGTAACCAGGCCCATTTTAACTAAGTCTATTATAGCCACTGTGAGATCATGTGATAGCCACTGTGAGGTTAGGGCATTTGGAGAAAAAAATCACAAAATATATTATATAAATTTTATTCTATTTTTATATCTTGAATATATTTTTTCAGAAGAAAATATATCTGAGGCATTATTACAAAAAATATTGGATTCCTGATCATGTAGCAGCTTCTTAGGATTCTTAGTGAAGATCTTAATAAAGATGCAGTGACTCTTTACACTCTGTTAGTGTTGTCAGCAAGCAATTTTTTCCATTTGCTAAATTTGAATTTAGCAAATATAAAGTTTGCCATGAGTTAATCAGTGAGCATAAGTAATCTGCTTAACATAATATCATCTCTATCTTTGTTAATGAAATGAATGTAGTTCTAGGATTAATTGCAATTTTGTTAAATAGTTTCAGAGTGAAAGAAGTATTGCAAAAGTGTGTTGTGTTGGGTGGTCACCAAATTATTTCTTTCAGAGTAATATTAAATTATGTTTATATTTTAATAGTATTAAATTTTTTAGTCTATTGGTCCTTCAATATATATATTTATGTAAGCCTCAATTTATCATCTTTAACAGATGACAAGTTTTAACAATCTGCCATCATCATGAAAAGATTTCATTACCAT